CACCATGATGGCCACGTCAACCCCGGCACGTTCCTCCCCGCCAGCTGGATCCTGTTCGACGGACAGGCCTTCGTGGGGGAGCAGCACGTGCTCTCCGAGGGCGAGTACCCCACGCTCAGCGCCATGGGCTGCCCCTCGTCCACCGCCATCCGCTCCCTGAAGAAGGTCCCGGTGGTGAGCATCAGCTTTTCCTTCCCTCCGCTGGCACTAGGGCAGAAACCCCTCAGGAACTGCCTTTCCCCCCTCCCACGGGTACCCCGTCACTGGTTCTCCAGCCTTTGAGCTCTTCTGCACCCATGGGTGCTCGCTCCTTCCGCTTGCCCCCCTCATGCCTCTTCCCCTATCCCACAGTTTTTCTCAGAGCCCTCCATCTTCCTGCACGGGCTGGAGTGTTTCGAGGGGAAGGAGATCGAGCTGAACAGCGAAGTGCGGAGTCTCCAGGCAGAGGGTTTCAACAACCATGTGCTGTCAGTGCGCGTCAAAGGCGGGATGTGAGCGAGCCCCAGCCTTACTCCCCCCTGCCTATGCCATCCCATTCCATACCATGCCATCCCAACCCATCCTATCCCATCCCATCCCATCCCATGCCATTCCATGCCATGCCATCCCAGCCCATCCTATTCCATGCTATGCCATCCCATTACATCCCAATTCATGCTATGCCATCCCATCCCATTCCATCCTATGCCATCCCATTCCATGCCAAGCCACCTCATCCCATTCCATCTCATGCCAAGCCATCCCACTCCATCCCATCCCAACCCCTTCCATTCCATCCCATCCCAGCCTTTCCCAGCTCGTCCCATGCCATTCCATACCATTCCATTCCCATCGCATCCCCCACCATTTAATTCCATCCTTCCCATCTCATCCCATGCCATTCCGTTCCCACCTCATCCATCCCAACCCCTGCAGCTGGGTGCTGTGCGAACACGGTGACTTCCGGGGGCGCCAGTGGCTGCTGGACCGCAGCGAAATCACCAACTGGCTGACGTACAGCGGGCTCCAGCACGTTGGATCCCTCTACCCCATCCGCCAGGTAGATCCCCCATCCCACACCGCGGGAGGGGACAGGATGCTGGTAGCCAGTGGGGTGAACCCCAAAATCCTGGGGACACATGGCTGATGTGAGCGGAAGATCCACCATCCCGGATGCGAGGGAAGATGTAGGGGCTCCGGGTGAGCTGGGGGAGGCAGCAGGGCACAGCCTGGAGAGCACAGCATGCTGCCAACGGCTCTGGTCCATGAAAGGTGCCACCAGCCTAGTCCTGCCATCCCCAGATCCCTGTCCCCTGCTCTGGGAGCGGCCACTTTGGAGCCGAAATGCTCCCCGTGGACCATGCAAAACACCCCAGCACAGAGAGCCGTGTCCGTACCAGGTGCAAGACAGGCCAGGATCACAGCTGTCACCCCAGGGAGAGGCAGGGACTTCCAGAGGGATCAAGGAGGACCCCAGGGGACCAGGGTCCTTCCTTCCCAAAGCCGCAAGCCGGCTGAGGTCCCTCCTCGGCCAGCTGCGGCACGTGGGGCTGGAGGTGAAGGCAGCAGGGCTGTTGGGTGCAAAAAAAGCCTTCTCTCTTTCCAGAGACGGATCTATTTCCGCGTCAGGAGCAGGGAGCTGGAGCTCTACCTCTCCGTCCCCGACGACGTGGAGGACATGAAAGCGGGGCGGGTGGTGGTGTCCAGCCTGAGCGAGCAGAGCAGCTCCGTCTGGTACTACGAGGATGGGCTGATCAAAAACCAGGTCAGGGCTCACGTGTGACAGACAGCGCTGCGGAGGGGACGGGGGAGCCCCTGGCAGGACCAGCCAAGATTCCTGCAGGGTACTCCCCATCCCACAGCCATCTTTTGGGGTTTAGAACAGCTTTCCCAGCATCTGACCTCAGCCTCGTCCCCAAAGATGAGTTGATTCTCTCCTTCCCAAATCTCCTCTGAAGATCCGAAGGCACCTCTGCCCCACCTTGAGGGGTTTCCATCACCCTCATCTTCCTCTCACTGAGAGGTTTTCCATGTCCCACTCCAGAACCAGCTGCATTTACAGGGAAATCCCTCTGCTCCAACCCTTCGCACCGGGCAGAGGCGATGGAGAGGAGTGGGCTGACCCGGCCACCGCTGCTCCTTGCAGGTGGCCCCCAACATGAGCCTGCAGGTCATCGGGCCGGCCGGGAAGGGCGCGAAGGCTGTGCTGTGGTCCGAGACCTGGATGCCACGTCAGACCTGGAGCGTCGATTCTCAGGGACGGATCCACAGCCAGATGTTTGAGGACATGATCCTCGATATAAAGGGTGAGGCTTTGGCACCAGCATGGGGGCTGCTTTCCCAGGGACCCCCAAAATGGGGTGGTGAGCCATGAGATGGGACGCTTATCCCTTCATTGCCATCAGGAGCGCAGTCTGCCCTCCTGACACCTCCCCTCGCTCCGCAGGCGGCCGATCCTATGACCGGGACCACGCCATCGTTTGGGATGTTGCTGAGGACAGACCCACGCAGATCTGGGACATAGAGGTGCTATGAGGGGGCGGCACGCACCCCTCACACCCAGAATTGCCATGGGGCAGGATGGGGACACCCTGCCAGCATCCCCGCATCGGGGTGGGATGACCCCACACCCCGAACACCCATCTGCCCCGACTGCTGGTGTGAAGGATGCCCACCATCCCCTCCATCCCGCCCGGGGAGCTCCGTATGTGACTCACAAAGGACCCCGCAGACACAACTGGCATGGGACCCCCCGGAGAGCAACAGAGCCCCTTCCCCACCAGCTTCCCCCTCCGAACTGTATTTATGTACGTGTGTAAGATACGGGCCGGCTCTGCCTGGGTGGTTGGTGTCCTTGTCCTTGCACTGCCCACAGCCTGGCAGCCCCCAGGCCAGGGAGCCGCCCCCCCCCCCAGCACCTTGCCCCCTGCCAGCCCCACAGCCCAGGGCCCAATCCTGCTCCCAGGATGGGAGCCCGGTGCCCTCTAGTGTCCATGGGTCCCAGCAGCACTGGGGACCTGAGTTTGGAGAAGGGAGGTGCAGGCTAAGCTGTGCCCCACCGGAGCACCGGGTGCTGCCGGACCCCAGCAGATCCAGCTCAGGGGGAGCCCAGCCTGAGGTTTGGGGGGTGTTCCAGCCCCCTCACCCCAGGGTGAGCTCTGCTTCAGTGCCCACGCTCCAGAGCCACATCCTGGCTCAGGTTACTCATCTCCGAGGTCCCTGGGACACAGGTCTCCCCACGTGGGTGAGGGCAGGAGCTCTCCGGGGACGTGACTCAGGGACAGAAGGGACACGGGGTGGGTTCTCCAGGGACGTGATTCAGGGATATGGGGTGCGAAATCTGCACGCAGAGACATCAAGTGCTTCCGTCCTCACCGCGGGGGAGAGGAGCCGGCTGCTGGCAAAGGCCCGGTTTGCTGAGCAGGTTGAGCCCAGTTTGGGGCGAGTCACTGCGTTTGGGCAGCGATCACTTGTCAAGCCCGCAGCAAAACCGGGCTGTTCCGGCAGCGACAGACAGCAAGCTGCCTTCCCGGGAGGTTTCCCCAGGTGCACCGAGGTCTTTACGTCTGGGTCTCCCGCCCGCTGGCGGGCG